TATAAACACATGTGCAACAAAAGCAACAACATGTTTGCTATTGACTTACATCAACATAGCATGCATTAACGTATTCATTTGGACAATCCTTATGGCCTGATATTGGTCTTAGTATAATACGATTGTCATCATCTAAAAATAACAAAAACACATTTAAAGCAGTGGGAAGAATAAATAAAGTTTAATGGCACTTAATGGATTGACAAGAGCATTAACTAACTTACAAACTACAATGTTTGCAAAACGATTCAACAGTTTATTGCTTGAAGTAAGACCAACTGTTACTGAGTGGTCACTTTCACCACTGTCTAACATCTATTAACAAAAATAACATAAAATTGAATATGAGGCAAAGAGAGTGAGTGAAAAGTAAAATACTTTTTACCATAAATTGATTTCTAAATCCCTCATTTCCTTTAGCATGTCCATTAGCAACAAATTCTCCAAATTGTCCAACAGGTACTAAGTTTTTACCACCTTTAGCAGTTGAGGTGTCATTACTTGGAATCCTGGCCTCTTCTACTGCAACTGTGAGTACAACTTGTTGACTAACTGTTCCAGCTTCATTATTAGCAACAAAACGATATGTTCCTTTATGTTTCTCCTCAACACTCACTAGCAGTAGACTACCATCTCCTCTCAGCTCATGAGCATAATCATCAGTCACTGGTTCTCCATTATGATACCAATTAAAAAATGGGGTAGGAGTTCCCTTGAATTTGACTTTGAAATGAACTTGACAACCTTCCTCACTTGTCACATCATTAGGGAATTCTTCTATCACTGGTGGTATAGGCTCCATTACTGTACTGTAGGTTGCCTCTTGAATTCTTTCTACTGTAATAAGAAAACAAAATAATAATAAGCTGTTCATGCTGCGTAATAAATACAATAATTGTTGAGATACATTTCATTAGATGATCACAAAAATTCAATATTACATACACCCAATTTCTTCATATCCTCCATTATTATTATTAAATGTACTGTAAGGTGTTAAGTTTTGTTCAGCAGTTACTGGTTTATTTTTTGAACTGACTATATCATAATCCTTTTTAAATCTTTCCTTCCTGTTATGTATTTAATATTCATTGCATACAATTTAACACTTACTTTAATACCACTACAATGATAATTACAATTATTATGACTATGAGTAGTAATGATACAATGGCTCCAACTGCAATGAAAACAATAGTCATTGAGCCTCCGTTAGTTGTAGCAGGTATAACAGGAGTGGAAATACCTATTCATTTAGTAATATATCACATTATAATTAAACCATTAAATTGCTTGACCACTGACCATAACTTTGGTATTGTAGCCATACTTGACATACACATAATTGAAGTACTTGTAGTATAGTTGCCATGTAACTGATGCATGACTAGTGACTTACCTGATGTTTGAATCAGTGTTGATACCATTGAAGTCCTTGATACTGGAGTAGGAGTTAGAGTGACACCTAAACAATTTATATAATAAAGTTATTTCACTTTTCTATACCTGGTGGTATTGGCTGAGTCCTCTCTCCTTCATAAATGATTCCATTAACATTAAATGATGCAGATATAGAGAACAAGTAGTTGAGATTAGGATCTAATCCTCCTATTAGACCTTCAGTAGTATCACCTGGGAATACTCTCATTCCTGTCTCTACTTGTCTCTTCTTTCTTGAGGAGCTACTGGTTAACTCATAATAGACAGTATAATGACCAGCTCTAGAAACAAAACCCCACTCAGCCCTCACTGCTGTAGAATTGAGCTTTGTTATAGAAAACATTTGAATGACAGCTGAAAAATTTTGAACACTATCATCATAGTATTCTCAGTAATTTCTTACGTATTTTAATAGTAGTGTATTCTCTATCAGTCCATTCTCCTGGTCCAATACTAGTATATGCTCTCACTCCAATAGTATAACTAGTATTAGGTATCAATCCTACTATACTGTAATAAGTGTTAGTAGTGTTAGTTATATTGTATGGACCAGTACTGGTAGACTCTCTGTATCTTATCTCATATACTGCAATGATACCATTAGGTATTGTAGGAGGATTCCATACAATATTTATTGCATCTGGGTTTTTTGCATGTCCTAGATCAGTTATCACACCAGGAACTGTGTTAAGATCATGTTAAACTCATCAATATCTCATTGACTTACTTGATTCACCAGTTAATTGTATTTCTTGTCTAGCTGGTCCATTCATATTATAATTATAAGGTATTATACTCACAGTATAGTTAGTATATGGTATTAATCCTGTGAGATTATACATTCTGTTGTCTCCTCCAGTGATATTAACAATACAACTAGTGTTTGAAGTGATGTTAGTGTATGTGAGGTAGTATCCAGTGATTGGTCCATTCCTTCCATTGCAAGGTACTTCATCCCATGAGACAGTCATTGACACTGACTCTACTGATGAGAATATAATATCATCCACTGAAGCAGTTGGGGCTGTATTAAGAAAGAATGAAATAGATATCAATAATATCTGGTAGATAATTTTTTACCAGTTGAAAGTGTAGTAGCTAAATAATTAGTAGTCAAATAAGCTAACTCAGCTCCATATACTCCAATAAGATCAAAGCCACATTGACTGTAAGGAGGTATACCAGTTGAAGTATGTGGTGATGAAACTGATGTTGTACTATTACTAGTGACTGATGATTCATATACTCTCCTACATCTCCTAATAATATCATAACTAATTGGTACTACTGCAGTTGGTGGACTCCATGTTAATGTAATGGTAAAACTTGTAATTAATGTAGTCATAAAGTTACTAACTATTGGATCACCTAAAGCAAAAACATTTTGACGCTTATTAATATAAGTACTTACTAATTGTTAATATAACTGAAGCATTACCACTAGGTAGAGAAGCTGATCCATAAGATACTACATAGAAAGTGTATGTACTTCCTCGAAACAATCCTGATACATCCATTGATGTTGATTTAAAAGCAGTAGTGCCTGCACTAACAGGAGTACTACTAGACAGTTGATAGTAGACCTCATAACCAGTAGCTCCTGATACAGTAGACCAGGAGAGTCTTACACGAGATAAATCAGTACTTAATCTTGTAGCATTTAAATCAGTTGGAGTATCAGATACTGAAAATATATGATAAATTAATGATAATTATGTCGCAAACCTGATATACTACAAGAAGTGTAACTAGTCAATGCCTGAACATTACCAATACGACCATTAGTACCACCAGTTACTCTGTCATTAAATACATTACACTGATAGTTACCAGCTTCTCTCAGTCTCACTGTTACTGTCACTCTTGTAACAGATCCTGATCCATTCACTATCACACGAGACAGTTCAGTAGATATTCCAGTCCCATTCACTGAACAACTGACAGTAGTAGGAGGACCATCAGAGACATTGAAACTGAGACTGAAGACTGGAGGAGTAGCTAATCTACTAGTGGAGAGGAGAGAGAACTGCATAGTAGGATCAGCATCAGGACCATCTGTAAAAGAAGTACATTAATTATAGTCTATATTCATCACAAACCATTGTTATTGTATCCAGTATCAGTATATGCTCCAACCACTAATGTTTGATCCTCTTCATTTTCATCAGGAATGATACACTTGTATAAACCTTCATATCTTGATAGTCCATCTCTTCTAGCTAGTGCAATCTGACCACTGAATCTCTTACTGTACACTGGACTCGGAGCTGATAAGTCACGAAATTCTTCATCAAATAAAGGTACTTCAGTTCCATTAGGATAATACCACACTCCAATATTAGTACCATTGTTAGCACTCTGACACCACAAAGCATCAACAAAATCATTATCATCATTATTCTGATCAACATCATAAAACTGGCTAGCATATATCATAGAGTAATCAGGTATTATCCTGTCCTCATAAACTAGGTACAGTCGAACACCTAAGTACATTCTACTACATAAAAAACTTCTATTTACTTTTTACCATTTTTGGGAAGGGTATAGGGTGCTGAACTTCCTTCTCCTATTTGAACTAGTGTCAATATAAGAGACCACACAATAGTAGCATAATAGGTATAACCCAATGTCAAGCTCTTCATCTTCTAGCTGAAATACTGTGCTAATGAGTTGGATTTTATTTTCAATAGTGCATTATTATATACACAGTTATGATAATTGAAATAAAAGCATATGACATATGAAATTATTAAAAACAAACATTGAATACAGTTACACAAAGGTTTCTTTCTAACCTGTTCACTCAATGTACAAATATAAAAAATTATAAAGTCTAAGTAGTGAAATTTGAATAAGTTTCAAATGATTCCAAGTAGGCTAGTACAATCTGAAACATCCCTTGATATTGTAGCTAAAAATAGAAAAATATTGATTTAACTAGAAAACACCATAAAGCTATTTGAAAACCATATACAAGATCAAACTTTGCCATGCTTCTTTTATTTTATTGAGGCAGAAAATAAAATAATACATAAATCATTATACTTACAATAGTCTGTACACTGCCTGGTTTTTGAATACGTTGACTTTTGAGTACTTGAAATACATCAATGACTCCTTCAGTTTTACATTTATTAATTGTTGTAGCAGCTGCACAAAACATTGCTGAACGACCAACTGTATCACTATAAAGAAAGAAATTAAAATCAATAATTAAATCACATTTCTTTCTCACCTGCAGTGTACTACAATGCTTGTGTTTCCTCTTTTCCTTTGTGTTCTGTACATTTCTTCTATTATCAATAAAATAGTCTGAGGATTCTTCACTTCTCCAGTTGAATCCCAGTTTGTTATTTGAAACTGTGTCACGCTTTGCTTAGCACCAGTCTAAACAAATCAAATGAAACAACACTTGCATGTATATGCTATCTTACATTGTTATTTTTAACTTCAAATTTCCTTTCAATGTATTTATTACTTTTGTCTTCATTCAGTAGAGTAATATTGTATTCTCCTATCACTAATGCACTTTGTGTTGAAGGCCAGTATTGATAGCAAACTTCCTACAATAAAATAATAAAATCCATTTTTTATTAATAATTATTAATGTTACTTCATCATTTTCATTTTCATGGCATAGCATTACAATAGCAGTCACATTTCTATCATCAATCATCTTCCAGAAGTTTCTAGCTGTATTAAACATTGGACTCTCTGCAATTATGAATGCTTTCTTTTCTTTGTAACCCTAAAATGATAAGTATATACTTATGATACAAGGAACTAGTGACAATGCATTACATTAATAAAAACTGCATTGATGTAATCTGGATGTTCATTCTTGAGTGGAACTCTGTGATTATTAGCTGTGGAAGGAAATAAAAAATAATGTGTAATTTCTGAGTGCATTTATTAATTGGATTTTTTTCCTCATTCCACTTTTTCTCTTACGTGGTAGAAACTGAGTTGATCTGTTCTTGTCATTATTCTGTGATGCAATATTATGTGTTACTTCATCTGGTCTTTGTGTTACCTGCTGCAATACCTAATAAATGAAAGGATAATATTTAATTTTTTCATGATAAAATAATACAGTAAATTGTTCTTCATAACCGGTTTGACCAGTTTTAGTATCAGGTTTACTCATCCTGTTGAATACAATACGAGCATTCCTACTATCAACCTGTGTATTACCACATGTCACTGACTCAAGTACAGCATCATTCACAAATATATACTGATCCTGTCATTAATAGAATAAAATAGATCTAACTTAAAACTATTAACTTACTGCTGTCTGAATCATCTTCATTCTCTGTTGTCTCATTCTATTGATAATACTTATAATATCAATCCCTCCTTCCTTCTCTGCCTGTTGTAGTCCCATGTCTATAGCCATGAATGTACCAGTCCTACCTACACCAGCACTGTAAAAAAAATAAATAAATAAACACATTATGTATAAATTATAATATAAATACCTGCAGTGTACTAGCATTGGTCCTTTGGTAGGTTTGTATTCATTCTTAATTCTACGGTGAAACTGGAGTATTGATGTTGCATATTCAGGTACTCCATGATCAGGCCATGATGTGAAATGATATTGTGTGATCATCAATGGAGGTTGATCTGA